AGACCTCCAGCACTCGGGGCAGACACCATACCTCGAGACCACTCAGATTTTGTATAAGTACAAAGCTCCCCGGCTCTCTAGCGTAGTTGGTTAAACCGGGTTGCGCGGTGACCGGGTGACAAACTCCATGTGGTCCGGGTTCACTCACGGGGGTAGGCAGAAAAGCCACATTTATCCCAGATTTACGGTATTTACAATGGAATCAAATCCGAAAGGTTGCGATATCCATAATACCGAGCCTAAGGGTTAACAACTCATGGCTTCTGGATATTAAAACAAACTAACATAAGTACAAAGCGAAATACGGATTGATTATGCCGAACTAGTCAAGATGATAAAGAGAATTCAAAAACCGTAATGAAATTAAAGCAGAAAAACAGCTGATAAAGTAAATGCAAGACGTGTCTTTACAAGCCCAATTAAAAAAAGGTAGCAAAGACAATACACTGGGATATGCAAAGTGGAATCAAAGCAGACCTATGCAATAAATCGATGTCACTGAAAGTTAGAAAAAGAATTCTTGCTTGCCACATACATCCAGTTTTAACATATGGCTGTGTTATGAGAAGAGGCAAAATAGAACATGCTGTGACCACTGAATAGATCTGTGGAACGAGGGATAGAGGAAGACGAAAAAAAAAATCTTGCGTCTCGGTGCGTGGCATGGAGGTGTGTCAGCATACGAACTGATACATGCCGCATGAGATCGCGGATTGTGGAGAGGCATGATCGCCCACGCCAGTCGGCAAGGCATATGATGATAATTATATCAGAATTATAAAACGTGTTCTTAATGCCTGACCCAAAAGTGCCAGCACAAAGCTTCTTTTTTTTTTTTTTAAAGTTATTTTTATCATGTTTATTTTGTTCCCCCAAGGTGGACATATTTGATCACTCAATAACAACGAATCTTTCGTTAACATTTAACGCTTGGTCGCATCTTTGTGTCACCTGGAGCTGCCCATCGAGTACCTGGCAGGTGGTCATCAATGGCTCGCTGTCCGCTCAAGGAACAGTCCATCACACATGGTCATCTCTGCCTCCAAATATGTACGTCGTTCTGGGTAAGTTGTTTGGAAATTAGAAGTGCGTTTTCTGTTTCTGTTTCCCATATCTGCTTTTTCTGTTCGTTCTCACTGCCAGTGGATTGCAGAGGAGAAGGCTACAGAAAACCAAGACCTTCCGATCCGCAGGGGAACGTCTAGCTGCTCCACCGCGGCGACTCCCGTGTTATAAAGTACATATGTGAAACAGAGTAAGATCTTGCTGAATGTTCAGTTAACATTTTTTTAATTTACAGAATGGAGTTTATAAAACCAGGACCTGTATAAATTAATTCTTAGTCACCGAGGTTTTTTTAGACATGAAGATCACTGCCATTAGGTCTACCCCCCCCCCCCCCCCCCCCCCCCCCCCCCTTTTTTTTTAAATTTTTTAATTCTTTCGAGAAACGTATTATCTCTGTGTTGTGTTCTCACTGTCCTAAAGGCCTTAATGTATAACAGTTTTATTTTCTAAATTCCTAGTCACGTCCCTTGCCATAATCTGTCATCTCGCCTGCCCACCCACCTGAATGGTTGGACTTCCTGTCCAGTATTTTACCTCAGCTAATGCACAAGCATGGTGGATATTTTGGGAAAAGACATCAATCCAATGTAAGGTTTAAGTTTGTCTCCGAAAACTTAGTAGGTCACGTTTCATTCAAAAGTTTTTTATTTTTTTCTTTCTAGGTTGTCTTTTACTTACGTTTTTATTCTGAGAATGAGAATGCCTGTGACAGAGGTTGCAGCACTCTCTGGGGGGTTGTGTTAGACCCAGTTTGATCATATTTCTGGAGTGTTAAAAGCGTTGACGTGCTGAAATATACAACACTCGATATCAGCAGCATTGCGGAACACCCGTGTTACCTTGTGCCAAGGCCACGTGGCTCAAGGTCGAACAACCAAAAATGAGCTAGTGTGTATATGGGTGGGATCTGGGGGAGACTAACGTTAGTTTTACCAAAGATATTATTTCAAAATAAAAGTAAAGCTAATATAATCAAGTTCACATTATCACAATCACGAACGACAAATAAACGTTGCTGCTAGAAAGCTTTCATCTGCATTCATTGCAGCTAATGGGCGTTCATCAGCTTGTATATTTTGGGACAGCCTGCATCGTAAAGCTAACTGGTTTTGTGAGCTCTGGTTGGAAATGATATAGTTGTCCCTTTCTGTTAAAGGTTTACTTGCTGCAACGTTCTTGCTTGCGATATTTTAAAGCTGATCAGTTCTACCTCTCATTAAAACGGACATTATTTTCTTTTTTAAACATTTGTTTTATCTTTATAATATTAATAATAAGGATATAATATTATATAACATTTATTATACAGTTTTCATATTAACATATTTTTTTCCAGTATGGAACGCAATTTTTTACAATTAATTTAAAGCCCCACCGTGGCTATTGTCAGGGGCCCTAATATAAGCTACCGATTGAATGGGATTTTTGTGACTTTTGTCTGGTGGAATTCTCATCCGAATGGTGGCACTTTGCATCAGCGGATGTTAATCATTCATTGTCCAGTCCTGGTGGGGTTGAAGGTCCCTGACCAATTATTTCTTTGTAGTTTAATCAAGTAACAATACCGTTACATGTGTCCTCAAGTTGGTCATCTGTATAAACTATTGCAGGACAAAGTACTCCATACCACAGGGAGGAGTCATTGATATGGGATGTATATGCAGGAGAGATGACCCAGTTCAACGTTTTCAGTCGGGCACTCTCATTGGATGATGTAAGAGCACTGGCTAATGGCAACACTTGTAACAGATCTTTCGGTGATGTCATCAGCTGGACGGATGTGGCCATGTATACACAAGGAGACTTGGAGATTCGTGAAGCTTCTCATTGTTTAGGTGGGTATGACTTGTATACACAAGGAGACTTAGAGATTCGTGAAGCTTCTCATTGTTTAGGTTTGTATGACTTGTATACACAAGGAGACTTTTAGATTCACGGAACTTCTCATTGTTTAGGTGGGAATGACTTGTATACACAAGGAGACTTTTAGATTCACGGAACTTCTCATTGTTTAGGTGGGAATGACTTGCATACACAAGGAGACTTGGAGATTCCCGAAACTTCTCATTGTTTAGATGGGTATGACTTGTATACACAAGGAGACTTGAAGATTCGTAAAGGTTCTCATTGTTTAGGTGGGTATGACTGCCATGGGCTTTTACTTCTTCTGGTTCACCAGCTGTAAACTCCGACAGAGTTTTGCGTGCACATATGTTTTAAGGTTATAGCTAATTTATATGCAGACTGTTGGTTCCTCGATGTTCAGTCAGATGCGCTCTGATTTCGGAGGCAAATCCTCAATAAATGGGCTTTTTCGAGTTATGAGTTAGATTATCTTCACAGCACTCTGGACACATCCATAGGCGCTCAGATTCCCCTCTCAGCATATTTATCAGCGTCGCACGGTTAATAGTACCAGTCCTATGTCAGTTAACAAGACTTCGTGTGCGTCCAGTGTGCTTCTCATACTTGGCTGAGCCGATCTTTAGTCCCAATTCACGTATTCTTAGAAGTGATGTGGACACGTTGCTTTCAAAATCCCCAGAACGTCCTATCTCCCAAAGGGCAATGACAATTTCTGCGTGATCCATGGGCTGGCTATCTTCAATTAATGCAGCACCTGCCAGTCTATCAGCTCTCTCATTACCAACAACGCCTGCATACTCTGGGACGAATATGAAAGTAACTGCACACACAGGAGAATTTTGCAACGACTCAATCCACTGTCCGCGTAACCAACCTGCCTCGACCCACCGGATCATACTCAAAGAATCACTCAGCCCACACACGCGGGAATAGTCCTGTGATCCCGGCCTTTTACGAGATTCTTTTTATGACGGTCTTTCAGAACCTGAGTTGCTGTAAGCTTTGCAAAACGCCGAGCTGGAAAAGTTTTCACCTTCAGTGCGGGTTTTTAAAGAGGGTTATCTTTTAGAGCTAGTTTTTACTTGTGTCTGTCGATTGTAGACACATTTTGAGAGAGAAACAAATGCTAACAAAATTCTTGGGGCCTTGGGGATGTGGTTTACAGAATTCTTAGAATTTCTTGGACCGCCAGGGAAGGGCTCGGAACAGGCTTTTGTCACTGCATTGAGGGGTGTTAGCACACATGAACTGATACACGTTGTTGAAGATTACAGATTGTGGAGAGGTATGATGGCCCCAAAAAAAAAAAATATATACTTGATGATGATGTCTTCTGGGACACAAGTGGGTCGGCACAAGACTCGTATTTTCGTACAAATTCAGTACTATCTGACCCTTGCCGAGCAAAACTGTACTTGTGTACCTTGCACGAGGTTTCGATATGTTTCAGAATTTGGCATCAATAATTCAAATGTTGGCATTGTGTTGAATATATACCTCGGAAAAGATGGAGTGATGGCATTAAGAACAGCCTTACAGAAATAAACATCAGTCTTAATAGTGCTCTTGACAGAGCTCATCAACGAACATTACATCTCCCCCCGACACTTCACTGAGGTACAAGGTGGAAGAGAAGAAGAAGAAGACGCTGAATATTTATAAATTTACTAACAATAAGTGTGATTCAGCTTTTGATGCAAATGTACCATTTGTCGTGATTGGTCAAGTGTGATGTTGTTTCTGTTTGGAAGACCATCGTTAAAATGTCCGTCCGGACAAATAGTTGTCTTTCATGTCTCTTGTCGCAATTTAACATTCCATTTAATTTATGTTCAAACTTCTCTGTCAGTTTTATTTTGACTTATTTTGTTACATTTTTAAAAATACGGTTACAATTGCTCTCAATTGTATGACAATTTGTTAGTGCGTTTATAATTAGGTGTCTTTTTCTAAAAACTACTGTTTGAGTTTAAGTTTACAATATGAGCGAGCACAAAAATTTAAATTATGATAATGATAGAAAAAATACTCTGTAAATGGGAAGAGGAATGGCAAACGTTAGCAACTGCTTACAGACGAAAATTAATTCTTCATGGTTTGTTTTCAGTAAACACAATCCTAGTAAAGGCTTCTGTGAAAAAAAAAAAAGGCAACTCAAACTTGCTCATGGCGAAAGCCAAACTGAAAGACATTTTTCTTGGTTGACAGAGGTATACACTTTCCATTGCCGAAGTAAAATGCAATATTTTTATTTAAAAAATGTTTAATTGCTGTTTATTATTTATTACAAATACATGACTTGGCATGAGTCTCGGTCAAAGAGAAAAGAATGTTCGCTGCATGCTTAAGCCCCACTTGCAGAAACTGTAATGGGTGAAAAACTAACTACGAGTTACTAGTACGACGATGCTAGCTGCATACGCATACTCTCAGCAGCGAAGGGATGAAGAGAAAATACCACGTGATACTCTCTCCACTGTAACTATCACATGCTAACGCTTACACACGCAAACTGATCACGCCTCGCCACAAAGAAAATAATTTATAGTCTCTTCTGAACCTCTGTATTTGCAACTGAAAGGGTTCAATTGATTTCAATGAAAATATTTCACAGATATAAACGAGTGCAAGTTTCCTTTGGCGTTTCCCTGCGGCCACAACCGAGAATGTGTGGATCTGGTAGGCTCCTACCACTGCTCCTCCTGCGCGTATGGCTACACAGGCAGCAACTGCGATGTTCCTGATGATGAATGTGCAATGAACGTTTGCCTCACAGGAGACTGCATTGATGGCCCCGAGCCGTATGACTTCCAGTGTGTATGCCCGGCCGGATTTACGGGTAAGTCAAGTAAAAACAGGGTACCGAAAAGGAGGGGCAGGGCCGACCAACACGAAGATTGGCACAGGATGTAAGTGACTCCTTGAGTATACAAGTACATGAGGCGGGAGAGCTGGCGAAAGACCGAGTTTCTTTAAGGCAGACCGTGATGAGAGCGACGTTCTGCAAAGGACCTGCTACAAGATGATGATAAAAGTAAAGAGGTCAGCGTCTGTGGCTTTGGCGTTGCGAACGCGCTTCGGGAAGCCGGGGTGCCGGGTTCGATCCCAGCTGCGGGCCTTGCGCCTTTAGTTGGTTTCGACATGGTATCGAGAAGCCGGCGGCGAAATGCTGACCACATTACCTACCTAGTGCCGATTGGTCTGTAAAAAATATGGGTGCTCTTCCCATATGCCCGATGCGTCTAAAGGAGTGAAAAGAGATCTTTACTTTTTTATCGAGAAGCCTACTGTCCAGAAAGATATAGCAAACTCCTGGTCGTAAAATTTGCCTAGAAAAACCACAACAGCCAAAAAATGCTGGAGTTGGTTCTGCAACGTCCTGTAAAGGATACGCAACTAACTTTAACTTTAAAGTAAAGGGCCCTTTTTCCCGCTTTTATGTGTATTGGGCATATAGGGCTAGACCCGTATTTTATTGACCAAACGGCACTCAATGGGTGACGTGGTCAGCCTCACGCCTGCCGCATCTAATGTCCATAACTCCACGTCGTACCCATTCAAGGTCAGGTTGACCTGAGAGCCAAGGTCATTCTTGAAGAGTTCGTCTTCTTCGGGGTCTGAACCTACAATCGTCTTATCCTTAGGCGAGCGTCTAGCCACTACACCGTGGTGGCTCCTTGGATTTATAGGTACTTGCATGATATTAAATTGTGAATTATCAGCTGTGTCTAGTGGGTAAATTAGCTAGTTAGTTAGCTAGCTAGCTACTTAGTCAGTCAGTTGTTGTTAGTGCCTTGCCACTCATGCAGAGGCACTCTGACGTCAAAGGAAACACTTACATAAAGTCGCCTTCTACGACATGCTTGTTGGGGAAATGAGATAGGGGGTCTATTCTTTATTCCCTAAAATAGACTTTCAGAACCCACAGGAAGATAATGCTGATTTGAAGACAAGACCTTTGCCTGGTAGACAAGCATAATGAGATGGTTTGGTCACCTGACGAGAATGCCCTGGTACCACCTGCCACAGAGAGCCACGCTGAAGAAATATCATGAACACAGACCAAGGGGAAGACCACGCAAGAGATGGAAAAACATCATCATGAGCAACCTAACAGAAATGAACACCAACTTACTTGCACAGTGCATTGAAAAAAAGCGCACAAATAAATCTTACATCTCCCCCAACACCTCGCTGAGGTAAATGGTGGAAGAAGAAGAAGAAGAAGAAGAAGAAGAAGAAGAAGAAGAAGAAGAAGAAGAAGAAGAAGAAGAAGAAGAAGAAGAAGAAGAAGAACAAGAAGAAGAAGAAGAACAAGAACAAGAACAAGAACAAGAACAAGAAGAAGAAGAAACACATAAGACCATTTTGTGTGTATGTTTTCTGAGTGATACAATTAATTTTCTGGACTATTCTAGGTCTGTTTTGTGAGGCAATGATCGACCTTTGTGTTTCGGCCCCATGTCAGAATGGCGGCTCGTGCATTCCCACAGCCAACTCCATCACTTGCAGATGCCCCCAACAAAATATGGGGCCTCTTTGTGAAAGACCTGCTTCTGCCTGTTTTCCAAATCCTTGCCAGAACCACGGGGCTTGTCATGAGATGGAGAACGATGCCTTTCGGTGTCTTTGCTCAGACAACTTCTCCGGGAGATTGTGTGAGAGAATGAGGAGCTGGTGCGATGGTCATGTCTGCTACAATGGAGGATTATGTCGGAATCGTTCAGCGTCGTTGCAGAATCGTCTCATTTCTAGTGCGGATGATGCCTTTTGCGAGTGTCAAGAAGGTTGGATGGGGAGACAATGTGAGGTCAGGATGGTTCTCTCATGCGAGTTGTCCCCCTGTGTTAACGGCGGTATATGTCAGGATAGTTCTGACGGCAAGCAAGGATATCGTTGTCAGTGTCAGGACATACCTGGTGCCAGGCTCGATGAGAACTGTGAGTTCGTGAACCCGTGCGACCTGTCACCGTGTGCCAACAACACCCTTTGTGTGTCACTTCCCAACTACACGTTTGTATGTGTCTGCGCGGGAGGCAGATCATGTGACCTGTCACCTGACTCGGGACATTCAAACAGTTCCCACAAAAGTGAGATATTTTCACAATCAACTGAGAGAACAAGTAAGTATTTGTAAAAGTAAAAGCTGTTTTCAACTCTTTCAAGCGCAGTGAGTTTACATTCATCATCATCATCATGTGCCCTGTCAACTGCCGTGGGCGCTCATGCGTCTCCACAGATCACGACCCCTGGTTGCCTGGAACAGCTCTCTTGATGATATCCCTCCATGCCATCGTTTCAGCCAATCCAGTATCATCTCTTGGTCTGCCTCTACCCCCTTTTCCACTGATCTTTCCAGGGTTTGTCTCTTTCTTAGAGTTTACAGTGCTGTATCTATTTTTTATATATCAATCGGCACTTGGTCGATGATGCTATCAAAATCATACTGGCCGCCTTTACTTCCAAAGGTTTAACCAGGTACCCATTTAAGTCTGGGTCGACCTGAGCCAAGATCATTTATGAGAAGAGTCCAGCTCCGTTCGGATTGAAACTCGCGACTTTCGTATCTGCAGGTGAGCATCAAACCGCTACACTACAAGGTCATCTTGGTAAGTATTTAGCAAAATGTTACAAGAAAAGAAAAGGCAGTTTCAGCAGATATCATTGCAGGCTGTTACAAAGAAAATATGATTTTAAAACTGATTGGGGGTGTGGGGTCGGTGGGGGGGGGGGGGGGGGGGCTTTCAGCCGCTTTCAAAATTTCAGCTTCACTGGAAAGGTCTCTGGTAGTGAGCATACTTTGGATATTATTTTTAGGCTATGCCTGCGTGGTGTGTAATGAACAGACAGACATATTGGCCGGATCTGCACCACTGGGTGGTAAATTGATACATGACAAGGCAGATGTGGTCAAGGCCCTTTGGGAACAAGCAACGGAATCAGTAAAGAAACAAGATTATTATGGCCTGGAGAGAATGAGGCACCTGGGTGTTACCAGAGGGTCTGGCCGGCTCACTACACTCAGAGGAAAGGCAAGACGGACACATAACAAATTATGACCGATACCATCAGTATTGGAACTCTGCGCTGGCTGCTGGAGATTAGCGCGGGGCATGCACGGGAATGCCCCGAGTTCTGTCATGTCAGTTCTTGACTCAACTCAACTCCAAATTTAATCTCGAAGCGGTTCCTGGGCTTCATTCTCAGGGATACAGAATTAGACTCACCCCCCCCCCCCTTTTTTTTTTTTGTTCATTTTATTTTACAACTAGCATGTCGTAAATTTCACTTATTAGTAATGTTTCCCTCGGAGTTCGGAGTACATCTGTCTGAGTGGCGACGAACCAACAGTCTGCACACCAATAAGCCAGATGTATAGAACGGTGCAAAATGCAGGGTGTGGAAAAATTCTAGAAGTTGACGAGCACCTAGAGCATTGCACTAGGGTTTGCTGCCAGTGAACGCATTGAAGAGTGCGAAGGGGTCTGGGTAGGCTTAAGTCTTGTTTAAGTGTATATTAATTATTAATATTGTAATGAAATGTATGATTTATTATTGTATGGCGTACTTGCCTTGTGGGTTCCAATGCCCCATTCTGGGTGGTAGCGTGAGGGGAAGGGGCGGACAGAGGATAGACTCCCTGAACAAAGTCGTACGTGATTACTGATTAGGGCTTCTTCCTCCAAGTCACAGCTTATCTGTGACTTGGAGAAAGAAGAGGATGGAGGCCGAGGAGGAGGAATAGAAAGAGGGAAAGAAGGGGCAGCAGAAGGAGGAGCATAAGGATGAGTAGAAAGAGGGGAAGAAAGAGGAGGATAGAGGAGTAGTAGAGAGAGGGGAAGGAAAAAGAGGAGTAGAAAGAGGGGATAGAGGAGGAGGAGTGGAAAGAGGGAGAGGAGGTTGGAGGAACAGGAGGAAGAGGGGAAGGAGGAGGGGTAGAAAGAGGGGAAGAAGGAGGGGATGGAGGAGGAGGAGTGGAAAGAGGGAAAGGAGGAGGAAGATGTATGAGGAGGATGAGTAGGAAGAGGGGAAGGAGGACGGAAAGGAAGAAGAGAAGTAAGAGGGGAAGAAGAAGGAGGAGGAACAGCAGCAGCTGACAGTAGTAGGCCTTAATGGTGCATTGCTTGAGCCACACCGATCTAAACATGATCTCTGCTTTCAGTGACAGACTTGCCCGATGACAGTCCGGCGTCCTGGTGGGTCTGGTTTTCCCTGGGTGTGCCTCTTCTGTTTGTTGTCCTCATCCTATTTTTCACTTCCTGTTTCATATGGAGGAGACGGCGCCAAAGGTATGTTTCAATTGCTTTGTCCGTCATCTTTATCAGCATGTTTCTCTGTTATTATGTTTTATCAACGTCACTGCACACTAGGCATTCCCATGCGTGCTCAGTGCTCCGATGCAGCAGCCACTCCAAGGTACTTCTACTAATTGTTTAGTTATATTATGCCAGTGTCACGTGCCTTTGTTAAGGTTTCCCCTAATGAACCAAAAGGCACTCTGAAGTAGTTTTAATGTTGAGATGTTGGCTCGCAATGGTCTAGGCGGAATCCTGCAGCTCTATTGAACATGCAACTTACTTCAGGAAAGAGGCGACTCAGATTATGGCACTACAGAATACATAAACATTCGCAACTTGGCCTGACTTCCTCACTGCTTTTAAAGCTCCCAAACTAGACAGTAATCCTATGCTAGTCAAATTAACACAGTATAACATGAAGTATAACCATGCAACAGATACTCCACACTTGAGAACTTGGAAGGACGGCCACTAACCACAGAATGTAAAATAACAAAAACATCATGTAATCAGTGCAACATATGTAGGAATATAAAGCAAATAATTCAGCAAGATTAATCAAACCAACTAAGGAAGCAAAGAATGTTCTACTCCAGATAGGCGCCTAGTTTGTCCCTAATAACAACCAATGGCATCACTGCCAGATTGTGGAATTTCGGACCTAGGAAATGGACACTTATGGTTAGGATCAACCGTTAGTCCTGGCCTATCCAAATTATCTGTCCAGGATGTCCTGTTCATTTGATGGAGGCCTCCTCACACATCTGGTAGAGCAGGTATGACGACTGGTGAATTCTTTCTTGAAGATCATGGCTCAGTAATCACAACAATCAATTGAACTGAATGTATACACAACTACCCACTAATAAAGTCAGTTGTACATAAGTATTCTACTTTACACTGTATTACAGTCTAAACTTTATGCCACCCTCTGGTGGGGTCACTTGTAGGCATTATGAAAAAATATATTTAAAAAACTTGTTGAAAACACAAACTGGTGGTAAACCTCGCAGGACCACAGACAGTTGTTTGTCGACTATGGAGTCACTGTCATGCTCATGCTCATGGACGTTTCCGGGTGAATCGGTGATTGAAACGGAGGTAATCAAACAGACAGCAAAGGCAGCAGCCGTTTGTTTACTCTCGGGAAGCTCAGTCAAGAATCATTTTAAACTACACATACACACACACACTACCTTGAGGTAAAGAGGTGTCCAGATAGAGGCTGTGGGGGGGGGGGGGGATTTCATCCGCGTCCAAAACGGTAGTTAGGCTTCAATAACAATGAATCTCTCACTTATAAGGCTGAATTATTAATTAATTAATAATTAATATTTGTTAATCCTAAGATAATTAGGATATAATTGACTACTTGCATGCGTGTATATGTGTGCATATGTGTGTTTAAGTATACATACATACACACATACACACACACACATACATGCACACATATACACATACATACAGATACAAACTTACACACGCACGGACCTAAACCCACGACCATAAGATCCGGCGAGGGTTTAGCCGAGGGGTTCTAAACCTTCCTAATTCGGCAACCCTTTAATGCAGTTTCTCATGTTGCGGCCTACCCCCAACCGTACAATTATTTTCGTCGCTACTTCATAACTTCAATGAATGTGTGTTTTGCCACTGTCTTTAGGGACCCCAGCGAAAGGGCCGTTTGATCCACACACACAAAAAGAGTCATCACCCAGAGGTTGAAAACCGCTGGTCTAGCTGCTAAACCACAGCGGGTCATTTAAAAAAAAAAAAAACTTTGTTAGTCGTAATTTAAATTGTTGTCCAGGTTTAAAATTTGGAAAAAAAACTTTTTGTGTGTGAAATGTTACGTTGCCACTTGTTTATATCCTTGCACGTCGGTCTGACCCGTTCGTGCTTCGTTCTCAGATACAGTAGTCATCTCGGTGTCTCCATGCCCAACGTACCCAGTAGAAGTTGATTGTCTATCATCTTTCTTTGTCCCGCAACTGGTTTCTACATGCTTGTTCTGGTCTAATACCAATTTCCAACAGGTAGTTCATTGTCCCTGCTTCTCTTGTCTTTCAGTAAGTCTGCCCTGTCTGTACCTCTTCCTCCACTACCCATTGCAACACGGCTAGTCTTTTAGCTCTTTCATTTTCTTTCACTCCTGCATCTCCGGGTATGTGCAGCCATGACAGTTTCTTCAGACAGGACTTCTGGGTGATGACCTGCCATTTTGATTGCCCATTTTAATCGGAAAGCTAAGTAATTTTTATGTATTCTTCTTTGTAACTGTGTCGTCTGTGAACTGTGATTGCATCCATTCAGCAGACTGCACGGAGAGATTCTCAGTCACACGACGGATATTGTCCGAGGTCATTTAACCAACCCTGGATTTCACTCTGAGGAGCTTCAGCTTGAAGGTATGAACTTATGTAATCTAAAGTGACTATTTGGTAACCTGTATATGTCTGTTTGAGACTCTCAAATTGGGCTTTTCATTATCACACACTGCAGAGAATCTAGAGAAAGGTGTAATGATATGACAGAATTAGAAGTACTTCTTCTTCTTTTTCTTCTTCTTCTTTTTCTTTACTTCCTCTTTAACCGCTGTGGGTGTCGAGGGAGATATAAGGTTCTGTTTCTAGCTCTTCTGGCTGCCTCGACCATAGGCACATCGTGCTGTTGTAGAGTTTCTCTGATGTTATCCTTCCATCTTGTTCTTGGTCTACCCCGTGCTCTACGTCCTTCTCCTCTTTCCATGTATGCTTTGTATGGTATGGTGTCACAAGACATTCTCTTTAAGTGGGCAAACCATTTCACTTGCTGTCTTTGTATGTAATGCCGACTTATTCTCTTATGATCTCATTCCTGATCTTATCTCTTATGGTCACTCCTACAGCCCTTTTCAGACATCTCATTTTCGTGGTTACTAATTTATCAGTAAATTAGAAGTACAACAACTTATATATGGAAAGGCTGGGCTAGATGATGCAATAGTAATCACCAGTGTTTCCCAAATTGTCTTGGTCGCGGCGCCTTTTTTCAATAAACATTTTTCCACGGCGCCCTAACCTAAGTAAAAGTCTGACTATTCTTGTCTTGGTCACATTAATTATGAAGCTTTTACAATATTTCGTGGCGCCCCTGTGAAGGGGTCGCGGCTCCCCGGGGCACCACGGCGCACTGTTTGGGAATCACTGGTGTACGCCAATAGTTCTGTTGATCGAGAGGGGATTTCCCGCTAGAATGAAAGGAAAGATCGGGACAGAACCAAAGGGAGCTTTTCTAACTACAGCTTCAAGCATGAGGATAGAGATGGGAACATTTACTACGGCTATGAATTTGGATAACAGAAAATGAAGTTACCAAAGGAATTGTTGTATCTGATTTTTAGTCGGTACTGCATAAGGCTCCAAATGTACAAATATGATACGACTTGATGTCAGGTATCAGCACGTCAGGATAACAGACTCATGTTGATATTCTGTCCGGGAAATGCAAGGGTGCGAGGGAATGAAAGACTGGGTATATTAAATCAGAGGTATAAATATTTATGAATGAGGAATTAGTAGAGCATCCGGCAAAAATGGGCGAATGAAATGAAGAGGATGACGTGTGAATAATCAGTGTGTTACTGAAACAGTTAGCATCTACATCTTAACACCTTGTTGCAAAAGACAGAGCATTTATGGATTTGCCCGGCATGTTGTGATGTCGATTCTTAAAGTCAGTAACAAGTAATATTTTACTTTAGACTATCTGGTGACCTTTAAAGGTCTGGCTGTTTTAAACTCTCGTTTTTGACTTTTAGATGACCTATAAATGTCAAAGTTTATGGAGCTCTCGTATTTCTGATCTTACAGAAAGCTTGTACGCAGAGCTCGGGGACGGCTACACACTTCCAGAGGATGACGAGAGAGTAGCTGATCGGGGACCTCATCAAACCAGTCTCAGCCCAGGAAACCATCAGAGAATCATCGCCAGGAACTTATCCTCCTCATCTGGTTCATTCTCCTCCTTTCGCTCCTCCTCGTCAAAGAAAGCTCCAGAGGCAGATGACACCAGCAAGCCTTTGCTCTTGGAGGACTATCTGATCCCTGTGGGACCAGACGCGGCAAGGTCAGGTGATGGTGAACTCTTTCAGGAAGAGGTCAAGGACGGTGCACGTCTGCTGTTACTGTCTGGTGTCTCGAATGCAGGGTTTGTCTCCAGTGATTATGTGATCTCGGACACTGATTTGGCAAGTCAAAGCATCAGAAGTTCGGGGCAAGACAGTGGTGCTTCTATCGCTCAGGCAACCGGATCTAAAAGGGTTGAATATATAAACGAACATAGATCCGGAAATATTCCAACACAACCGGGCACTCTTGTAGAGTATGAAAATGCAAGTGTCATGTTTGCAGATGATACGAAGTATCATTCAGGCAGACAGTTGCCGGGCTTTCATGAGCAAAGGCAATCCACTGCTGGAAATGGATATGTGAATATGAAAGCAATAGTAACAGGGAATACAAGAGATGAGCGAAGGGATGAGACTCATAATTTTGGACAGGAAGACAAAGAACTGAAACACATTAGTAGCCGTAGTTCTGTAAGAGCTTTATCTAAAGAAGTTGCTGCAAATAGTCAGTTGAAATCTGGATATTTTCACGAAGATCGTCCCTTTACTCCTAGATCGGATAGTTGTATAGATAGACGAACTGCTGCAGGGGTGCAATTTCAGGAAGATTCTCTGGAAGTTGCTGAAGTAACGCCCAGAGAATCCCCAGAGTCATATATTCCATTTGCAGACAAACTAAGAACCGGACAAAGTAATCACGGCAGTGCAAGATCCAGAACGAAGGCAAAGACTGAACAAGATTCTACAGATGCCCAATCACAATGCTTTCAGCCACCTACAGGGACTGAATCCAAACCCCAAACATCTGAAGAGTCTAGCCACAAACCCCGGCCATCTGAAGAGTCTAGCCACCCAGCATTGCAGTCTGCTGCTTTAGCTACAAATCCCCTAGTCAAGCAGTTCCACACACCAAAGGGTGAAATATTTCCGAAGCCTGACCTCACAACCAAACGAGAATTATCGTCTGCAAGTCACAGTCTACCATTAACAACCATCACTAGCAACAGTAGTTCCTCTAAAACACAAACGGCTAAAACTGGGTCGAAAATTCAAACAGCTCCGTTTGTGACTGACAAACTGTCTTCTTCTCCTTACAGCAGTGACGAGCAGCAGGCTCAACCTGTTAAATTGATACCTGATTATGCAGAGCTCCTTCCTTCAGAAACGCTAGCCTTGTCCCTTTCTCAGACTGCCAAATCGGGTCACGGACAAAGACCATTGTCGTCTTCAAAATCTCTCCAGCTGACTTCCTCAAATGCGTCCCAGTCTGAGGAGTTTGAAACTCTCAAAGCAGCATCCAAAACAACTAGAACTTTGCCAGATTTGCAGAAAACCAGCCGTGCCTCATTCAGTACAAACAACTCACTGCAGACAAAAATGGTGTCATCAAAATCTCTCCCTTTACCATTTATGTCCGGCCAAAGGAAATCTGCAGCATCAAATCAGTCAACTTTTCCTAAAGAACGCCCAGAAAAAGATAGAGATGTGCAAACTGTAAATTTTTCACCGAAACAGTCTACTAACGTCAAAACAAATCTTAATAATAAACTAAAAGGACAGCAGAAACAGACAGAAGATTTCCTGGAGCAGCAGGCTGTGAGAAAAAAAATGGAGGCAAGTAATAAGAAAGCAGAATACGTAGATCCTAAAACTAGCAAGGAAAATTATGATCACAATTTGGATGAAAAGTCAGCAGAGAACCCTTTTGCCTCACCAAAACAACAGTCAGATGTGAGCACATCTTCAAGTCTACAGTCAAGTGTCAGTACGCATTCACAACAGCAGACGACCAGTATTGCTCCTGTTTCCCCAGAACAACTATCGGCTAGCAAACAGCAGTCAGGTGCAGTCAGGCGTTTACGTCCACAGCAGTTGATGACTAAAAATACCAACGTGCCACTAGAACAGCAGTCAAATGTTGTAGCGTCTGCAAACCAGCAGTCATTAGAAGCTAGAGATGTTTACGTAGAGGCGAAGTCATCAGAGAATACATTCAAAGCTCAGGAAGCGTCATGTAGCGATGAGTCTATGACTGAAGCAGCAGCCGATTTCCCACAGGAAGGGGGACTAACAATGTTACGTTACAATAAAGGCAGGAAACTGCCCCCGTTACCAGACGCATAAACATCCGGCAGATATTTGTCCTTACGATGATTATTTGCCTTTTTTACTGTAACTTTCTGGTAACAGAATTACTTTTCATGGTATCAATTTATGAATGTGCACTTCTTCTTCTTCTTCTTCTTCTTCTTCTTCTTCTTCTTCTTCTTCTTCTTCTTCTTCTTCTTCCTTCTTCGTCTAAAAGTACCGTATCAGTATGAGACACAATTTTTCATTATTTTTAAGGCCCCCTCTGGCTGTTGCCAGGGACCCTAATATAACCGACATTATGGGTTGAGCGGGGTTTTTAGGACCTGTCCACAGGTGATCCTTATCCGAATGATGGCACTTTGTGTCACCGGGTGTTTACTGTAGTTGGTTAAACCCGGCGGCGGCCGAGTGACGAACTCCATGTGGTCCGGGTTCACTCCCGGGGGTGGGCAGAAAAGCCACATTTCTCCCAGATTTACGGTACTTAGCATGGAATCAAGCCGAAGGGTTGCGATATCCATAGTACAGAGCCAAAGGGTTTACAACTCATGGTTTCTGGATACTTAATAATAATTAAAAAAATTTAAATCAGCTATAAACATGGGTCGAGATGTTTTACGTTCTCCGGCTCTACATTTGCATTTTGTAGGATGAGACATGACCTTTTTTAGCTTTTTGAAGATGTGGATGTGAATAAAATAGGAACACGTCCGGGAAAGCCCGTTAACCAGTACAGCCGCGCAGCACACTCATGCCCAGTACTGGACAGAAGTGATGTCATCAATGTTCTGCGCTGCACTTACCGTACCGAGAAACATTCCAAAGGGCATAACTCCATATCCCTGTCTAGACTGATGGACATCGGGGTGTAGTCTGCAGCTGCAATAAATGAACATTTCACTAAGGGGACAAGACGTTTCCTTAACCAAAACAGAACAGGCGTCATTAGTCGTTTTACACTTGTGGAGCTTTTGAGGAGGAGATCGGAGCACCCGTGGATCTGTCCGGAGTGCTGTGAGGATATTGCTTTCTAATCACTGATCACTAGCCACACTTATACTGGTTTGTTGGTAGTTGTACCCTACCAGGATATCACACAAGCGATAAACACCCGGTGACACAAAGTGCCACCATGCGGATAAGGATCACCCGTGGAGAGGTCCCAGAAACCCCTTTCAGCCTTTAGGCCATATCTATGGCTGGGCCGTATCTATGTCTCAGTTGTATTCAGGGCCCCTGGCAGAGGCCAGGGTGGGGCTTCGAATAACAAAATTCATTCCACACGGGGACGACTTGATAAGGATAACACACAAACTGGGGCACCACAAAACAGTTACCAAGCACATTTGTAGACCTGTGCGGGTGGCTTGGTTGATGGAAAGTTCTGGTTGTTCAGCCACCTCTGGACTTTGATCTTGTTCCAGAACGCAAAATTGCGGTAGGATTCGCATCCTTTTGATGTTAATCCGGCGTACTGCAATCCTATAGGACACAAATTGCAATAGTAAGTGTCAGCATATCTTTATGTTGTCCTTTAGACTGTATTAATATGCTTGTTGATGTTTCATGGACATGCTTTTTTTTTTTTAACATGAAACAAATGTGGCCGTTTTTACCTAGTTAGTCCTATAGTCTTCTTCTCCGCCTTCACCAGCTGTAAACTCTGGCAGAAAGTTCTGGTTGGTCATCCACTTTTGGACTGCAATCCTGTTCCAGAACCTGAGTGTTGCGTATACATCCGTTTTACAGATCTGACAAATTTGTATTCAGGCTGCTGGTACCTTGCCTCTCAGGCAGATGCACTCCGACTTCGAAGGAAGCTTCCAACAAGTCGACTCAACGACATGCTTTTGGGTAGGCAGTGGGTCTATTCTTGTTTTCCCTATAATAGGGACCCGGAACCCACACGGAGTTCTGTGGCTTTCCAGCTGCATATTCTTTGCAGGATGTTGCAGAAAACATCGATTTCTTTGACAAAACAATGGGGCCCTGGAACCCACACGGGGAAGTCCTATAGTGTTATTGTTTGTTGTTGTTGATGGTGGTTTTTTGGTAGCGCTAGAAGTGGTATTGGTGGTGGTATTGGTGGTGGTGGTATTAGTGGAGGTGTTGGTGTTGGGTATGCTGTTGTAGAACTCCCAGGTACAAGCCCCAAAAACCCCATTCAATCGTAATGTGTGTTTGTTTATGTTTGTGTGTGTGCGTGTGTTTCTGTGGGTGTGTCTGTGTATCTTTATGTATATATGTGGGTGGGTGTGTGTGTATGTATGTGGGTGTGTATATATGCGTGTTTAAGTATGTGTGTGTGTGTGTATGTGCGTGCGCTAGTCTGTGCATGCATTTTACCACCCATGCTTTCGTGCTGTTTTTTTTTTTTTTTTTTATATTCACAATCATATTATCAAATGTATATAACATGCTTTTTTTTTTATAAAATACAACTGGTGTGTAAAAAGCGGATGTTTGAAAGGGCCGAATGTAAGACGGGCCTGGGTGCCCAATTTGTGACCCTTTGAAAATAAAGTTCGTTCGTGAAGTTATAATGGCACTCCGACGGTTACTAAGTAACCTGAAGTCCAGGTAGGGTATTTCAATCTAGCTCCTACGCCTTGTAATGATATAGCAAGGGGTCTAACCCCCCCCCCCCACCCCCTTCCCCAGGATTGGGCGCCTATGCACACACACCGTAGTATTTGTATTCCCTTGGCAGAGTGATCCTCCCTCTAAATGACGTGTGAGTTATCTAACCTTGAAGCTCAAGAACTGCTGAGTCACGGAGGTATATTCTCACCTGACTCAAACAAACGCAGGTGATGCTAAAATGTACCGCCAGTACTCAAGTGTTCTCAAAGCAGTCTGTTTAACCCTTTATGGCGGTTGTTACATTAACCCTTTCACTGTTTATTTATTTTAATCATTTGTTCTTGGCCTTTCACTACTTCTAAAATAAAAATGCCGCTTTTCTATAATAATGT